TTTCCCATCACTCGTTTGAAGTGTTGAGGTTAGGGAATAGGTAACAAGGGCAGTGGAGATGACTCGGGAGCAAAGTTGCTTCCATAGTTTCCAGATGAAGAGGTTTGGAAGGGCAGATGAGTCTGGTGAGTAAGGCTGTAAACTCTCCGTCTGTTTGGATGGGCTGATGCTAAAAGGAGGGATGGTTTAAATTGTGCAAATTTAAGCCTTAAACTGAGCCTTAAATTGTGCAAAAAACCTGCTGTGGGTGAAGCAACGATGAATAATGGTTTTTAGATTATATCTCAGGACACCGATTTCTAGATGACTCGCAGCTAATGTTAGTTGTGCAGAATCAGTGGCCACCTTCAGTGCTGGTTCCTGCACTGGAGGGTGTGAGCTGCAGCCTTGCCCTTTCAGCCCCTTGTGCTTGTCCCGGCTGAGTACTGTTTGCAGATAGATGTTCCCGTCCTGCATTTTCCCTCTGAGTCAGCACTCAGGCTGGAAATGGTTTTCACATAGCAAAGATGTGCTGGGCTGGGATGTCCCATGTTCACAGAGCTGGGGAGGGTCACATAGATGTTCTTCCCTCTGCTACAAATTGTGAGGCAGCATGGATTGCTTCCTTGTCTGAACCCTGTGATCTCTACGCTGTTTTTCTGGTTTAGGACCTGTAGGATATGCAAAGTGCTGACATCTTGATTTACTGTTCCCATGCACCCAGATACAGTTATTCACCCTGCACAAAGTGGGTGTAACACCTTGTGAAGCTGGGCATTTCACTGCAGATCATATGCAACACCATGGGAAATGTTTGTTTACGTGACAGAGCTGTAGAGGATCGAGCTTCTGATGAGGAATGGGTGCCAAACAGAAACCAGAATGATGCCTGCCTGTTTTAAGCAAACAAAACCTCTTTTGTCCTAAGGTGATATTGCTTCACCATAGCAGTAAAGTTGGCATAATTGGGATTTAAGTAATTTTTACACTAGCAGAACATCAGCAGCAGCCTTTGTACACTAGATAGAATGTCAGAAGATTTTCAGATGGGCAAAGTTTGGCATAGCTGGTGTAGACAAGCTTTTATTAACTTGAAATCTAAAAGATGGTAAATTCTTGGTTGGTTTGTGGTTTTTGTTTTATTTCTTGGGGTTTATTTTTTTTTATTTGCTTTTTAAAATTTCCAGAATCTTTTATCCTTGTGTAAAGTCAGCTAAACCTATTGAAAATTATTTAGAAGTTTTTTCCTGATATGATAGATGATACGCACATTAGGTAATTGAAATCACGCACACTCCAGGAAGATAAAACCTCGCCTTTCCCATTTGCGGTGTGGCAAGATTGAACCTGTCTGAAGCTATTTCATGCAGAGGGAGCATAAAGCAGGAAATGAATTACGGTTTTATTTGAGTTGAAGGATTAGTTGTGGGATAATAGTGAACAACGAAACAACTTGGGGACAAGGCTGCCAGCTCTTAAACAGTTTTATTAGCTTATGCTGATTTGTGAATTAGGAAAACCAAATGATGTCATGCAAGAGAGCAAGGGATGACAATTAAAAACCTGCATGAAAGGACTAGTAAAACAGTAATCTCTCACTGCCTGATCTTCAAAGCAAGATGGGAGAGCATGACCTTTTCTTGGAATAAATACAGGATATTTCATGTAGCCAACTTCTGGTTTTCAGGTTTTGCCAATTTGCAGCTGCTTGCTTGTACTACAGTTCTTATTTGTTGATTGCCCTGGGGTCCAATTTTAGTCTCAAAATACTCCCAAGAAGTGGTTCCATGTTCTTTGATTTGAGATCTGTTCACATCTCAATTACACTTCTAATCTGTCAGCACAGTATCCTTTTTAGCACTCAATGGCAGAGCTATGCTGTGATATTTGAGTAACCATAATGCTGTGGGACCATGAAAAACAGCTTCCTTGGTAACGCTTCCCATTTATAGTGGAGATGTGATCGGTAACCGTGTATGTGATAATGATTTGTTGATCATGTTGAAACTTCAGTCTCAAAGTGTGGTTAAGACCTAATTGTACTGCAAACCAGCTTTCTCTGCTGCTTCCTCCAAGTTACCACTGTTTTGTATGTTCCACGAAAAGCATGTCATCACAGCCCATCAGATCTGCATAGCAAAAAGATTGTCCCAATTAGGGACTGAGCGCTCTGCTCTTCAGGTGAGGATTGTGCTTCAAGAAGCAGCATCTTTCTGTGCATCCTGAATTTTGTCTTTAAATCTTAAGCATAAAGGTGCCTGGGAACATTTGCAGGCAGACGTGCCTTGCCTCTCACAGAATGAAGTGCCTCTGGGTAGGGTCAAGTGAGCAAGTTGTGGCAAATCAAACTAGCTTGTGAATTTATAGTGCATTATCTGCTCCATAGTAACTGGCTGTGTGCATGGTACAAAGGCACCCTGTGGTAAATACGAGGTTTCTTGCCCCTTTTTTTGCCTGAGGTGTAGGCTACCTTCCTTCACGTCATCTTTCCCGTGAAATGAGAGTGCATGGAGAAGGAATCTGCCCGAGTACCACCACTGCACCATATTGCACGGGTGCTGCTTGGGGCCTGTTCCTGTGTCCCCACTCTGGCAGGGGTGTGCAAGACACATTCCAGGCTGGCAGCAAGATCACTGCATTGCTAGCAAGCAGCCTCACTCCTAATTCAGCAATCAAGGCTCACTCCTGATTCAGCGATCAAAGCCCTGTTTTGGGCAATCAAACCAAAATAGAACCAAAATCCTAATCCCACTTGTTGAAGTTGGTGGAAAGACTTAGTCACGTAGTGTGGTGGGTCCCCCAGGGTTACATACAACTGACTCTCCAGGGAGGCTCACAGGAGGCTGTGCAAGCAGGAGCTTGCAAGGAATAAACTTCCCTGCTCTTACTAAAAAATAGTTGGAAGCCATTTATTTTTGCTGGAAATGTTAAATATTATCTCATAGTTATTTGGACTCCTTTTTCAGGTTCCCCTGAATGCTAAATGACAAGACATAAAAATTAAAAATTGCAGCTTTTACGGTTGCCAAATTATTGGGGGAAAGAAACCATAAATAATTTGCAAATGCTGAAATGTTTCGTTTTTACACTTAGACACAAAATAGTTTGAGTATTTTGAGCTCAGGTGGAGTTTTTCAATTGTGGGATTCATGTAATTGAGAGAAAAAATAAACGGCTTGAAAATAAATTTGGATTTAAACAAGGTTTCAAGCGTTTTTTAAATAATAGCTTTGGGTTATTTTTCTCTCTTTGGTCTGCTTTCTAAAATGAAAAATCTTGATGGTCTGTTTCTGTTAGATAAGCAGCAGAGTCCCAATTAAGAAGAGGAGAGAAGCTGTTGACCAAGGACCTGGAAGTGTAGCCAGGACTGGATGTCTGAAGGCTCTTGAGTCCGCAGTGCCTTTGTCACACAGGAATTGTAGTTCTTCAGAAACTACTGTTTCTGAAACTGAGATGCTTTTTGTAACAGGCATCTTGCATTGCTGCAGTTCCCCAGGAAGAGTACAAAGACACATTTAACTTGAGACCAGTGGTCACCATCATCATCATCATTGACAGGTGCCTGACAGWGTCTCAGCCAGCTGGATGCTGGTTCACAGACACTGCTCCATGAGGGCTTCGCTTTAGCCAGTAAATCCAGGAGTAGTCTTGCTCCAAAGCTGGATCAGCTGGGCAGATACTGTCTTGGGCGTTGTAAGACTTTGTTGTTGTTGCTTCGTATGTTGCACTAAAACCGTCATAGGTATAGACTTCTTTTGAATAGCAACTTTTTATCATTGCATTGCCTTCCTTCTGCTCTTCACCCATGAACTGCACTTGCCCATGTGTCTGACTTGTTTCCTGCCTTTGCGTAATGTGAGATTCATCTGCATTCATCTGTAGCCATCTAATCTGAGCTCAGTGTCTAGACTTACTTTATGGAGAGAACCAGACCTTTCTAGAGAGTTTTTCATTCTGTCCCAAAGCAGATGCTTAAGATAGGTCAAACTAATAATTTCCTAGATTGCCTTGTTTCTTCCAGCAAGCGAAGAGAGCTTTCACTGTATAAGGTATAGACTTTTGTCTTTTTGTCCTTTTTTTTGCACGTTTTTGGTTTGAGGACACAGATTCCACCATAAGGCTGATAGGGTGGGATCCATGTGCACAAATCCTGAAATTACATGTGAGATATTTAAGGAGCCTTACATTAAGGAGGCAGAAAAGGTTTGTGGCCCAAAGTGAAACTAAGAATTCAGGAAGTACAAGTATACCATGGGAACCTGGCTCAAGGAAAAAAATGTTCCATTTGGGGCCTGTGGAAATACATGCTCTATTTTAAATGTTCTTTGTGGGATTCACATAAAAATGGAGCCCAGCAACTTCCTCAGACCCCAGTAAAAAGGCTGGGGATAGGCTGATACCTTGTATAGTCAGTAAAAAAATTCAGAGTTGGTCCACAAAGAAATTTTGTCAAAAAAATTAAGGAAAGAACCACACAATATTAAAAATCTCAAACATGAAAAATACTTCCTACTAAGGAACAGGAAGAGTGTGTGTATATTCTTGGTTTCARTATTCCTCTGTTAAAGTATTGCAGATAACCATGGAAGTAGATAGGTGTCTGCATTCCCCTAGAGGAGTTCATTGAGAACGAAAATCTTCCTGTGTGGATCTCTCTACACATTGTGGACTTTATTTGCAGACACTTTTCTAAACAGCAGCTCTCAAGTAGTTTTTTCTTTCTCTTGTTTCAGCAACAGAATTATTTAAATCAGTTAATTAATTAAATTAATTCAGCAACTCTGAACTGGGTTTTAATATTTTGTAATAATATGCATAGGGCAAATGACTCTTCCTATCCTTGATCAACGTTTGCAGTACACTCACCCTGTACTGGACTCTTCATCCTGGGAGCTCATTATAAATGTARTTGCTTCAAGGAGATGTCGGAGTCAATTGTCTGTTTGTTAAACAGCACTATGGATTTTCCCTTTTTTATTCCTTGCTTTCCTTTCTTATTTGGTTTTGCTTTTGTTCTACAGCTCCATCTTACTTTATTTGAAAGAGGAAAGCCAGTGAGGACCCGTGAACAATCCAGCGGCTTCTGAAAAATCTTCATGCTAAAGGATAATCCAGAATTCCTTGAAGAAGAACACAGTGAATGTTGTGAGTTCCTAGCTGTGATAACAAATACTTCCAATTGTGTCTTTTGGGAGGCTGTATCTGCCCTGTGGTGTTTGGTCTCTTCTCTGTGATGAACACCAAAGGCAGTTGTGTTTGGGTGGGGCTGAAAAGATAGACTTGAATTTCTGTCCCTCTTACTTTTTTTTTCTCTTTCTTTTTATGGGTTTAAGGGCAGATAGTGTTATCTAAGGAAAGATGGTGGATTTCTTTTCCTTGGACTGCTACAATTATTTGTCATATTGCTATATAACATATTGCTATATGTTAGCAATAACATATTTCTATTGTTTTTTAGTTAAATATTGAAAGGCCATGTGAATGTGTAGCCTAACAAGAAGAAAAATACTATGGGTAACAGTTCATCAATCTAAAGGTCAGATTCAGGAGTTTTATGCATACTTATACAATGGTTGGTATTATGCGGCCGTTTTCAAATTAGAGGAATGCAAATGTAGTTATTTCTGCCTGGTATTCCAAACTCTTGGTCAGTTTGTTGTATTAGTTTGAGTAATTCCAGTACAAATGCTACTCTTGGAAGTTTGTGTTCGTGGAAACTGGCGTAACACACCTTTCAGAGGGAAGCACAGTCACTCAACTGAGACCTTGATTCAGCTGCAGTATTAATACAAGAAAATGTTCCCATGAGGGATGACTAAAGAGAAGGCATAAATATTTTTATGTCCATTGTTTTTCTTATGAAGCCCACTGTTTTTCTGGGTTGAAATGGGCAAACATGCCGATCAAATGTACACATTCTCACAAAAAGAGGAAAACAAGACTTCTCTGCTTGCCAGGTTTTGGAATAATCCTTATATTTTTCTTAAGAATGAACCATGGGGATTCCCAAGTTAGGCAAGTTAATATTCAAATTCTTAYGCTCGAAGTATACAGTGGTCCTTCAGGATGTTAATAGTGATAAAGCTGCAGATTCTTCCAGTTTGAGCAAACTAGTTCATGCACTTTCCATTAATGTGGTAAATATAAATAGATTTTCTGATTGCTGGGCATGCCTTCTAGCTTCCTCAAAGTTGGATGCCCTCCTTTGCTCTGCTTTTCACTTTGGGTTCAGGCTTCAGGAAGCAGATTGAGACAGACTCTAAGCAGTGCTGCTTTCCCAAGAACCAGTTGCAAAATAAATATTAGAGAAGACGCTGCAAATTTTTCATCATCTCTTGCCTTTCCAGGCTGCTTTGATCCGCAGTGAAATAGTTAACAAAGCCGACATTTGGAATTGTTACTTACTAGTTACCACTAAACTGCCAAGCTAGTAGCTTGTTAAGATGAATAAGGGGCCTCTGAGACCTGGAGTTTCTCATTGTCCATGTACCTGAGCAGATGTGGCTGTATCAACTTATTCCCACACTTGGAAAGACTTCTTTAAAACCACAAGAGCTTTCTTTGCATGCTGGCATCCTAGAGCAGAAGAGGACAGCCCTAAATAATAATAATAACAATAATAACAATACTAAAATAATAATAACAATAACAATACTAATAAACAAAAACTGCCCTAGCATGCAGAACTGTTTGGATAACAGGAGATATTTGTTCAAGATGTTGCAATCACCTCCTCTGATTGCAACAGCAGCATCACCTCACCTGAAGAAGAGCATTCCCCGTGGAATGCTGTGTGGTGTGCCAGATCAGCCAGGTAAACTGAAGGAGGCAATCATCAGCCATTACAGGGGATGAAGTATCTGTTGAAGATGCTGTCAGTGTGATCATTAMATTCTGTTCTGCCCTAATGGGTTTAAAATCAACCCACTTAAAGCACAGTGTGATATTCTGCTAGTGTGGTGCCAAACCCCTGAATTACACTCAGGAGGCCTGGGTTTGTGCAGAAAAAGCTCTCACCAGGTATGGATGGAAAAAAGTGTTCTTGAGAGTGGCTCTTACCCTGACACCCAAGACTGGTTCCTTTTGAGGAGTCATTTGTAAGTGATGGAGAGCTTTTTAGCAGTTCCTTGAGAGTGTGTTTTGTCACCTGGCTTCTGCTTGGAGGACAGTGCTGCAAGGAGGCAGTCAGCCGGACTCCTCCTCTTCTCTTTAAATTCTTGGGGAGACAAGAATGCCAGAGATGAGGAAGGTACAGTGTTTCTCCTGRAAGAAAATGCTGGCACACAGCAATTTTACTGAAAAGTATTGCTCTCTCCCCTGTTTGCAGGRTGTTGTCATGTTAAGATGTGAGGAAAATGATCACACCTTTCCCACTGCAAGCAGTAGCTGTTCTCTTCCCTTCTGCTGCCTCCTCCTGCCACCCAGGCAAATTTCAGAGGAAGGGGGGTGTGAGAAGGGAGGGGTGCAGTAAATTGGGACCAGTGTCTTGTATCCACCTAGAAACTGTCTGTTTACTAAACAGTACAAATTTCTCACTTCCTTTTTACTGCTGTCTTCATTTGGATGAAACGCATTTCTGGAATAGCAGTGCTTTTACAAATCAGGTCCATATTCCACTTCTGGGGAGAGAAAAAGGCATGTCAGGAGGGTTTGTTACGGAGGAACATTTATTTTAGCAAGGGTGAAAATGAAGCAAGACAGAGCTCCTTTGCTCTTAACTGAAGGGTACCTTCTGTATTCCAACATACGGTTTTGTAATTTTCTGGTAGGATTTGGGTATCCTGAGGTTTTTTTTTTTTCCATCCTGAAAACATATGCCACAGCTTTTTTGGAGTGCTAGCCACACAAGCACAAACGCATTCTAACAGGAGCAGTGAATAAACTCTTCATGTTCCTCAGTCACAGGCATTTCTTCAAACTATTTTATTTTTCTGTGCTTTTGTGAAAACCTGTGCTTTTGTGAAAACCTCTGGTTTGTGGGAAATGGAAAATAAATCTCATAAGTCCAGTATGTGTCAGTAACAGAAATGTGTTTATCTATAAATTTGATCTTATATCTATAACAGTTATTTTGGGTAAACTGCAGATGTCAGAATAATAAACATCCCCACTTCTAGCCCAGACAGGCTTTCTATGCCTTGCCTTCMGTGGGAACTTGCTGCTGTAAGGACTGACTCTGGAGAGGGTCTTGGAGGACCRTGGTCATGCATGGCTTAGCCCCAGTTCCACCCATTTTTGAGCTGCCTGCCTTCTTTCCCTGTTCTTGGCCCTCCTTGCTTCCTTTACCCTGGGTCATATCTCCTGTGTACTCCCCCTCTGGCTGCCGGCTGTTTTTCCTGGCATAYGGAGCTGTGACGGGTCTAGGGGCGACGGCTCCTGGAGCTGATGTCAGTGCTGCTTCCTGAGCCTCCTGGCCAGGCTGGCTGCAGCCCAGGCACRCCCTCTCCCCAGAGCATCACCTTCTCTATCCTGCCACTGCGGCAGCCCCTCGGGGAGGAGGCTTGTGCAAGGGATGGAAATGCAAGGTTAGCAAGCCTTTCRCAGCAGTGTTCTGCAAGTGGCCGTCTCCCACGCCTGGAGCCTCAACGCCGGGTTTGTGGTGTGGCTGGAAGTGATGCCTGGTTTCTGTTCTGAGCTGTACRCAGCTTGGAAGAGCGACGGGAAGCTTTGACACATGCAGACTTAATGTTTCTGGATGTCTTTGCTTTTGTGTCGCTTCGGTCTCTGTATGCTAAATCACTTCATGGTTTTCTGTGAAAATTACCAGGCTGCCGAGAAAAGAGCAGAGCTGCGTGTGTCTGTTCTTCCAAACAACAGCCCAGTACAGGCCACTCAGTATTTATAGTGAGAGGGGAAAAAGTGAAGAATCACTTTAATTTGAGAAATGTCTCTCAGAAAAAGCAGTAATTTATTCCTAGGCATTATTCTTCATTAAGAGCTCCATTCAGCTGCAGCTTCCCTTTAAATAGTAATTGCTCTTTGCAGGCATGCTATACATAGGGCTTCAGGTTTCTGCCATTTCTCTGCCAAAAAATCAGAAGTATTTCTCACCAAATAAATGTTTATTCAGAAAGTCATATTTCCTGGCTTTTATTTCATGTCACAGGCTTCCGGCAGCCAGGCAAGAACAGCTCAAGGCTGTTGTTTGGGAGAGGAAGCTGAAAACAGTTTGAGTCTCTTGTGGGGCTTCAGAAAACGTCTCTGACCATAACTTTGGGCCTTCAGTTTGGCACCTTACTTCAGCTGTTGAACACTGAATTAAAATTGACGTTGGAGAAATCCCACAGGGCGAGTGTGTCTGTGAAGACACAGAGTGGGTGGCGGCAGGCGTTTCTATGCATCAGGTCAGCTCAGCCCCTCTCCTGGCCTTTAAGCACCATATCCTCAGACTGCAWGGGTGGCAAACTGGCCTTGGCACTGGCAGCAGCTGAGCTGGTTTGTTGGTGTGGAATTCCCTGTATGGTCAGTGTTTGGACACCTAAGGACAGCAGGTGAGAGCTGGGCTGTGCCTGCTTGCACCTGCCACCCAGTAGAGGTGGGCAGGGTGGCTCCAAGTCYTGCAGAAGGACATGAGGTGATGATGCTGTGAGCCACCAGTGCTCCACAGGACCACGTGCCTTTTTATCCACATCTGTGCGGCTTCCTTGGATTTGCCTTTCTCTTCTCTACATTCCTGCTGGCTGGCTCCTCAGTTCATGAYTTCCTAACCTGTCTTTTCCCCTCTTATCTTTTCCAGACTGARCTGCTGAGCTTCTTCTTTTGTCTCCAGGGTTTATCTGCTGGACTCATACTTTACATTCAGTGTGCTAAGCCCCTACCCACTCCAGTAGATGGATTTGCTGTTGTAGCAGCCCCAGATGGTTCTCTTTTGTCATCTGTGGCTGTGGTGTTCCTGTCAATACATGATGTTTTCTTCTCCACATCTCCTCCCACTTCTCCCCACACTCCTAAGTTTATGGCTTATAGTTTGCAGTCCATGTATTAAAATAATTTTTAGTTAGGTCACTCATTACTCTCTTGCTTTCTTCTTGGCCTRTATAGGTTCCAGAGAAGTGAGAAGCTATAATTTCTTCAGGGCTGAAATCCAAGTCTTTGATAGGCATGCCTGATGCCTGGGGCCACTACATGTTGCAACCGGTTGTCAG